TGAGATGAACAAATTGTATATTTCCAAACTAATAACAATTTTTATAAATTATATAAATATCAATATCATGTGGAAAATTAAAATAGTAGAGTTTTCGAAAGAAAAGATAGAGAAGAGAAAGTAGTTAATATTTTTCTTGATATATTCTGTAGGATGCAACATGTTATACGGCAAATGTACAGGTATCTTAAATCAGGTGGAATAATTTTATTTCGAGATTATGGCAGACACGATTTAGCGCAATTAAGATTTAAGAAGGGCAACTGCCTCGGTGAGAATTTCTATGTGCGTGGAGATGGCACCAGAGTGTACTTTTTTTCTCAAGGTGTGCAAACTTTAAAATATTACATTAGTATTGTAATCTGAATATATTATTCTTATTGCTATATGAACAAAAATCTTATATGTTACTATTTCCAAATTAGAATTATTATAGTCTGTTAAATCATTAATAATTGAAATATGATGCTCGTAACAGTTCATCGAACATTTTGTTAAAATATTGACTTTTTCAGAGGATATTAGAAAATTATTTACCGGTAATGGTTTCGTCGAAGAACAAAACTTCATGGACAGAAGGCTGCAAGTTAATAGAGGTAAACAGTTGAAAATGTATAGAATATGGGTACAGGCGAAATATCGAAAGCCGTCGTAGAAGTTATGTAACATGAATATCGTTATCAAATTTTAAAAAAATCGAAAATTTATGATAAAAATTAGTAAATAAAATAATAAAAATATATTTTTATATATTGTGTTCTCGAGATTTTAGACGTTTACTCAATGTACACTAAAAATTGATTTTTATTTTAAACATAACTCCTCGAATATAAAGTCAACTTATCCTACAGTATTTAAATAATACATAATTTTTTTAAGATTATGATTATTAATATTATTTACTATTTGAAATAACGCAAATAAATAAAGAGAATTGTGTCAATATACGCATAATTATGTTAAGACATTAATATCCATAATATAATGATATAATAATGTTATTATCGTTAAAAGGATTTGTATATCATTAATATTCTCATATAATAAAATATTTCATTTTCACGAGATTAACTATGTACATTAACTTCAAAATTAAATTTATGGAAATTAAATTTTTTTGTAATAATAAATTAATAATTGAAATAAATGATTTAAAATATTCTATTTATACTAATTAATTTTATGATAAAATTATGTGATATTGAAATAAATTGTAAGCTCTTTTTCTGATTAGAGGTAAAATGAGGAACAAGGATTGGATATAACAGAACAATGTAATATTAAAATAATTTAATTGCACAATTTGACAGATTTTCGACAAGCTTATGCATGTCTGCTGCCATTTCATAGCGGTGTTGTTCCTTTTTTAAAATTATAATATAACTCGAAAAACCCATGAACAAAAATGTACCACAACCAAACAACCATGGTTGAGTTCACGGATATTATTTACACTTACATAAATATCAGATTGATTTGAAAGCTTTGCCATCCTTTCATTAAACTCTATTCTCTAATCAAAGATTGAAGAATGTTAAATTATTTATAAAAGAGAAAATTTAAGGAAAATTATTTTTAATTTTGTAAATTCTCTTTCTATTTCTTGATTGATAGAAATAAAATTCTATACAAAACTATTTTAGTTTTAACTTTCTTTAATGATAAAGCTTTGACACCAATCTAATATTAATTTCTAATATTATATATATCAGAAATATATTTGCAATTTATTATTTTTTTTAATAGATACCGACCGAAAAAGTCCACTTAAAAACGCCACAGATGAATTACGCTATCTAAAAAATATGGCGAACATGAAAAATTTCATTTAATTTCACGTAAATTCGTTACAATAAGTAGTAAAACGATACGGTGGAGGTACGGAGGATAAAAACACCAGTATACGAACTTTGTAGACATGCATACGTTAATTGGACGGTGTTATGCATGAATGAGTTTACCCAGAACAAAAAAAAAAGAATAAATATAAGTTGCGTGTGCTTAGTCCAACGCTACTGTGTCGGAAATTTAAGGTTTTTTTTAAATTTAATTCATCTAGAATTACCACTTTGACAGGTTAACTCGTTTTTGCATAATTTTGCCCCGTGTATCGGATAATCACATTTAACGTTGAATTGTTCTAGAAATTCGCATTGGATTATATCCTCCCAGATCGACCAACCAGAGACTTTATTCGTGAAGGGAAAAAAAGAGAGAAGTTTTACTCTCCCGTTCTTTACACGTCTGAAGTATGTCTCTTGTTAAATACTCTAAACACTTCTCTTTAAAATCACTGGCCGTTGTTAATCGATGTCATTTAATAAAAGAAGGCCGAACCCGTAACTTAATGTTAAACCTTCCTATGAGTACATAAAAATGACTCTTATATTGAAAAATTGTTGTGACATAAAAACGTGATAATTATAAAATTCTTCGTATTTTTCTAGAACGTCGCTACAGAATTCAACTTGCTGAAATCTCTGATAATCTCTATTAGGGTCCGATCCTTCATAATACATAATGTTCGAAGTTGCTTTATCGCTAGTGCGACGCATTTCACGCTTATTGTTCTTGACTATAGATAGTAGACAATGATGGTACCGCCAATTTAAGGTCTAACTCATAACATTACGATATTTGTAATGCTATTTATAAAATACCTAAATAAATGTTTGTCGTACGATGACAAGTAATTAATAAAAAGCTCCTTCTTAAATATTTCTTATTTTTTAATTTAAAAATAAAGTAAATATGTAGTTTAGGGGAGCCCCCTCCCCCAATAATCTTGATCTTGACATATATTGTCAAGATCATGACCCTGAGTCCAACGGTTAAAACTTTCTCAAGGTTATTCAGGGGTCATGACTTTAATAACATAGATCAAGATCATTGGGGGGAGGACGGTGGGATCTCCTAAACTATTTATCAAAGATAAATTTGTAAATAATATTATACAGAAGAAATAAAAGGATCAGTGTCTAATATTGAATTTGTTACAATAATTCGTGAAATCTATTTTAAATATAAAATATATAAAATAAAATTATGTAGATTTGTTTCGTTATTACATCAAACCTTTTAAATTAATAGTTTTACTATTAAAAATATTACTATAACTATATATATTATATAGTTATCGCGGTATCGGTAATAATGTACAGGAGAGTCCGCAAATAAACGACCAAACGTTAGGAATTTATTCTATTTGTTTTGAAGACGAAAAAGTCATACGATTATGTGTATCTTGTTTCTCTCTTTCTTCGAGTTATAGATACTTGCTCCCACAGTTTTTGTCTGCGGTAGAATACAGCTGAGAAAATTCATAGAAGTTTCATCTTAGAACGAACTTTGCGCTTCTTTTCGTTTTAAAGGGGTGTGTCGCAGAAGGAACGCTTGATCGATGCTTCACGAATTATCAAATAACGGAATAGCCCGTCTGTCGAAGTTCGACCGCTTATTTCGGGTACATCCTATTTTTCTAGTCACGACTTAGTACATTACGTCATCTGTCTTCGTGAAGCGCGATCCTGATGCGAATAAATAAGCGTCGCGAGGAATGATCGATTAATTTATCGTTGTCGCGTATGCGATAACGGAGACTGAGAAAATACGGCAAGGGTGATTAATTCACGACGCGATTCACAGTCGTGCGAGACCGAGTTTACTTTGAAAGTACAACAGGGTGATCTCTCCGTACACGCGGGAATCCTAAATCGATGGGACTTAAGTTGGTAGTCGGTTACGTGTCGTTCGTGTCTATGAGAATCACGCGGGGTCACGCGACTGGGGCTGTGCTGGAAGCAGCTTCCTCGTTGCTATTCTCGATTGGCCTATGCGATAGATGGTACGCCCGCGCCTTCTCCTCCCAGAGTTTTTCGCCAGCCAACACTCTGAAAGGCAGAAATTGAATATATATAAATCGAACGGTTATAATGCTTTCATATATTGTAACTTCGGTTAGAATTCACGGGTGATGCTTTTACCCCTTCAGAGAAATCGCATATATTCCGAAAATAATATAAATCTTTTAATATAAATCATCGAATCAAGCGTTATTTTCGCTCTCGTAAAGAATATTTTAATACGATATTAAAAATGCGATTTTAGATTATCCAATTAAATAAACAATGTAATATTAATCGATAAATACCGTTTGATGTGAATACTGAATAAAAATCTGTAACGCATAAGATTCTTTTCAGCTTAAAATTAAGATTTTGGTTATTGAAAGAAATCTTTTACTCAAGAATCTTTGATTAATTTGAAAGCTCGAGCTGTAATGTCCATTCCGCTTTGTATCCCTGCAATATGTCAAAATAATTTCGTCCAATTTCGGTTTAATTCCGGTTCACGGTACACCGTTTGAATATATACGTCGCTTGTGAGCAATACTATATGTAACAACTGTAACAGCGATGCAGCGTAACAAATGGGAACGTACCGTCTGGTGTTGTCGCTGACTAAACTGTCCGGTGCGCCATAAACGGGTGGATTCGCGTAAGGATCGTAGCCGAGTACGGAGAGCATTGGCGCGATGTCTGCCATCTCTCTCACCACGTCCTCGGGAATGTTGCCGACCCATTTGGTTAGCGCTGCCAGATTTACAGGCTTTATGATTTGGTCCGATGACCTCTCAACCCTGTCCGTCAAACATCATTTCGACATTAATAATAACGAAACGTCATATGTACACATTTATTAATTTCGTTATATTAATTTAGCAAAACGTCATTCTATTACATTGTATAAATATTACCTCAATGCTTATAATGCGAAAAATTAATTTATCGTATTATTGTTCTGATATATTAATAACACGAAGGATTATTTTGTTACGCTGTCACATCATTTTCGCGTTATTAATACGAAATGCATTATATTATTACATTAATACATATTCAGGATTAACGACATTATTTTAATGCATTATTTTAACGTGTGTACATGCATTTCGCCCGAATCCCGGAATACTGTTACGTCTAAATGCACTGCTATTTCCTCCATTCTTCTCGCTTACTTGCTCAGAGGCACTCCGCCGGGTTTGTTAATGAATTCCTCGTGATGCATGACAGATTCGTTCCACGGCACGTCCAAATAGTTTAATATCTTCTTCATCCATTGACGCGGGTGCAGCACCAGCTGCTCGTAAGGAACCATCAGACATCTCTCAGGTCCCAGTTCCTTGCATTGACCGTACATTACGGAAATTGCGTGATTCCACCTGATGAGAGACTGCCGGTACGACGTTAAATCGAATCCCGTTATGGTGACCTATGAAGAGAAGGCGTCACTGCGAGAATTGTATTGTACTATTTTATATACATATATACATACACACACACACACATATATATGTGTGTGTGTGTGTGTGTGTGTGTGTGTAATATACATCTTGGATGAAAGACCTTGCATTCTATAATTTAAAAAATGTGTATTTATAATGCGAAGGAACACATTTGACGGAATGTGGTATGCTATAATTATAATAATTTGCAATATTAAAAATTAGAAAAAAAAAAGGCAAAAAGCAATTAATATAGAAAAAAGTTTCTTACTTACAAAATTTAATCAGTAATTTTATTTAAAGCTTATACCGACACAAGAGTGACATAACTGTCGAACAACCAAACATATTTTTGGAAAAAAAAAAAAAAATAACGTAAAGTTAATTAAAACTTTTTTTTTTTTTTTTTTTTTTACCTTCCTGGATATGATGGAATGCACCGTCGCGCGTCCGTCGCGGACCATGAATATAAATTTTGCGTTCGGGAAGAGCTCGAGGATGTACGAGCCCATCTTCAGGGTGAGTGGATCCTTGTTGCACAATCTCGGCGCGGGCTCAGCGTGTCGTGCTATTATTTCTAAGCAGAACGCCGCTATCGCGCTGTCTATCACCTATAGAAAAATAGCATACTCTCGATATCTCAAGCACCGAATAATACTCCCCCGTTTCGTCGTAAAACGCACCTCTCAAGTTTCATATGCATAAATTTTAATTTTAATTATTCATGAGAGATGAAGAGTTCGAAGAAGTTACTGCGAGCATCTTACATCATCCTCTTGAACTAACACGACCAGCTTAGGATTCACGTGAACAGCAAACTTTATAATTCCACGTCGCGATGATATAATTATTCAAACTACGCGTGCAAATTTTTATTTAGCTTTAGGAGAGAGAAGTGCATATTTAAATATCGAGGTAAACATCCGAATAAATATATGCCGCGTTGCAGCGAGAAGTTTTAGCGGAGCACTCCTTGGCCTCTTCTTTAAGAGCGCAAGAGAAATATACATACTACTCTCGATAAAATAGGACAAACGGTGAAAACTCTTTCCTGCTGTGAATTTTTTCGTTGGACGATACTTAAATTATTCAGATCTGTCTCAGTGCTGAAATATACCCTTTTCCGCGCTTTTCAGAACGCAGGCTTACCTCTTTCGAGATCCCCGCTTCAGTTAGCCGCACGTTTTCCTTCTCGGACTTGGACCAGTGCATCTTCATCTGGAGAATCCTTGGTATAACCCTGGTCTCCTGTCCGCATCTTGAACAAAATCGATAAAGATATTTGATCGAAGATATAATCCCCATTTTAAGATCATTCTAACTCTATAATTCGTATCAGAGATTTCAGAATTTAATTTTGTATGTCGCGTGTATCTCGCGATATATGTGTGTATTTTAATATCATTATTAAGAAATATGTTAAAAATATCTATATATTATCTTGGCGATAACAAATTTTATTTTTCAACACAAACGATGCTTTTACATCATATGGATATAAATTTATTTGCTCTCTTTTGCGTTGGGAAATGAATATTTATAAATATATATATATAATATGATTGGAAACAAGACCGTCTATATGAATATTAAGACTTTAAATACAAAGCGCCTTTTCGGTCGAGTGTTAAGATGTTGAACTACTATCTAATATACATTCAATTAAATTGAATTAATATTTCAGAAATAAATTGAGAGCCGATGGATTTATCGGATTCACACAATCAATCTGAAACAAATAATCCCCCCC